CAAAGGCCACGCCCCCCACCCCCGCCCCTTTGAATTAGCCAATCTCGAAAGACTGTGCTCCTGAGCTCCAATGAAGAGTGAGGGGCAGGTCCCATGTATGAGGGATTATAAAGCGGAGCAGACCACCTGCTCGGTGTGTGAGTGCCTCCAGACCATGTATGCACACCCTTCTACGCAGAAGTGAAGATATTTGCCTTGCTGCCTGGCTTCCGAGTATGTTTTGTGTTCTACCAGGACCCCTGAATTGGGGGGGGGCTCACCTTATTTCTTTTTTTTTCATATTTCTTTATTGATTTCAGAGAGAAAGGGAGAAGGAGAGAGAGATAGAAACATCAATGATGAGAGAGAATCATTGATCGGTTGCCTCCTGCACACCCCCCACTGGGGATCGAGCCCGCAACCTAGGCATGTGCCCTTGGCTGGAATCGAACCCAGGACCCTTCAATCCACAGGCTGATACTCTATCCACTGAGCCAAGCCGGCCAGGGCGCACCTTATTTCTTACACAGATCCCCAGTGAGGTATGCGATGCACTTTTAAAAAGATGCTGTGATTGCCATGTGGACAGTAGACACAGTAAGGGCAGAAGCAGGAAGTCTAGTTAGGGATTGGGATAATCCAGGTAAACTTTGATGGTGGATGGGGCAGGGCGTTGGCCCTGGAAGTGATCAGATAGACCCTGGTCTGTGCAAAGGCAGAGCAACATCTACAAGAGTGGTGTGACATGGCTTCCTACAGCTCTGACACTCAGAAAAGTAATTCTGAAACGGGCTGGTTGGTAGGGAGTGAGGTGATGGATGAAGAAGCAAGAAGTGAGGGGGAGGAAATATGAGTGGTAAGAATCAGGGCAACTGTTGTGGAGTCCTTGAGGGAGGAAATTCTGGAAATAATGGGTCACCATGCACTTAGAACGTGTAAGGATAAGCTTACCTTCCATTTTTCTGTAGTTCTCCTGTGGGAAGTCACCTATTGTCTTCTCTAGCAGAGAGGTGTGGACAAGGAGCCCAGAATGCTGGTGACCCTTGAAGCCCTGACAAAGGTCAGGGCTATGCACCCACTGTTTAGTTGAGACAATGGTAGCTGAAGCAACTTCTCCACCAGATAGTCATGTAAATCCTTACTGATAAGATAGTCTGTCTGTTACTGGAACTTGCCTGCCTAAGGGCTATATGTGGATCCCAAACTAAATAAAAGGATGGCAAAGCCTGAGCACAAGTGAAGTCCATCCTCTTGGGATGGGCTCTCGCCTGGCCCCCCAATTTCCAAATTATTGTCTTGTCTCTTTCATTTGTGTGTGGCCCCTCTTCCAGATCCTGAACCCTGAACCACACTGCATGTGGGGGAACATTACACATTTTCCATTTTTAGAAGGTGCATGGTTGGTATCCCCACACTAAAGCTAAGCCTGTGGAGTTGGGGACTTGGTCTTACCTTGATACCCCAACACTGGAATCGAAAAAATGTGTAGAAAGTGTAGACCCCAAACCTAGAAACCAGCTGGCTAACTGGCTGGCTCAGCAAGGGTGGGGCTCTGAGAAGCTTTAAGGGAACAGAGAGGGAAGTCGGGGGGAGGTAGGAGGGTTTGGGGGAGAGCAGAAACCAAGAAGCACATCATGAAACTTGTAAGGCCTTGGGGGTAGGAAAGGGGAAAGAAAGTAGAGGAGAAGGAGGAGGGGAAGCAGGTGTGAGGCAGGGAGGGGCCGAGAAATCTCCATCATGCTGGGCAATGGCCACCCCAGCTCAGTCTCCTCTGAAACCTTAAGGAAATTGGCGTCGCTTACTCTTATGCAGGGGACCAAGCACTTCCCTGTGACTTGGGCACAAACAGAAGACCCTGTGCGAGGTTGCCAGGAGGGAGGCATGGGTGCTGCTTGCACACTGCAGGGAGGAATGTGGAGCTTCTCTGCTTTTCCAGGATCGCTGCTTCCCCACTGGCGGCTGTTCCCAGTGGACGACCAGGGGTGCTCAGCTGTGGCTGCACACTCACTGTCCCAGGTTTCCCGTTTATATCCCTCCTCTGGGATGTCGGAGGTGCTTCTCGATGGAGAACAGGGAACTGGGAAAGGAAAGCTGTGGTGAAGTTGGTTCTAAAGGAAGCCTAATTAAAAAAAACACACCAAAAAACAAAACAGACTTCCCTGGACTCACATAATGAAAGGAGTTTTTAGGGGTAATGAAGCATGGTAGCAACCATGCTTGGGTAAAAATTGCTGTTTAGTATTTTAACCCTGCTGATTTGGCTTCTATAATTATTTGCTTGCTAAAATAATAGGAAAGTTATTTTGATTTTCCTAACTTATATAAGTTATCCCCCCATTTGATTGAATACTTCATTGATTGTGGTTTTGTTGCAGAAGGCCAAAGAAATACCAAACATGCTTCCTAGAGAAAGGGAGGGACCCTGTTTATTAACACTAGTGGACTCCGGGAATAATTTCCGAGTAACATGCAGAGGGCTTCACTTTTTATAACCTTCTGGGGTCTTTGTCTTGCAGATATGGTTCCACCCCCTTTCATGGGCTTACAGGAAAGCCCCCAGGTGTTGGGGGGTCCCCAGGCCATATCTGAAGATCTGTCCTGGGGCCAGTGATAATGACCTCACCTCCCCCCCCCTACCACCCCACCCCCCCTCCGCGTGCCCCCCTCCCCCCTGCAGTGCATTGTTTACAGTTTTTATGTCCTGACACACCTTGCAAGACCAGTTTCTTCCTCAGTTTGAATAGCCCCATTGTTTTTTTTTCTCTTATTTTTTTTAATTAAATCTTTATTGTTCAGATTATTACATTTGTTCCTCTTTTTTCCCCCCCATAACTCCCCTCCTCCCAGTTCCCGCCCCACCCTCCGCCCTCACTCCCCACCCACTGTCCTCATCCATAGGTGCACGATTTTTGTCCAGTCTCTTCCCGCATCTCCCACACTCCTTTCCCCCCCAAGAATGGTCAGTCCATTCCCTTTCTATGTCCCTGATTCTATTATAATCACCAGTTCATTCTGTTCATCAGATTATTTATTCACTTGATTCTTAGATTCACTTGTTGATAGATGCATATTTGTTGTTCATAATTTGTATCTTTACCTTTTTCTTCCTCTTCCTCTTCTTAAAGGATACCTTTCAGCATTTCATATAATCCTGGTTTGGTGGTGGTGATCTTACTGGTCTTTCAAAAACACATTCCTCTGTACCTGGAGACCAGGTCAGCATAATTACTCAGATAATGTGTTTTCACATTATCTCCAGATAATGTGTTTTCGTTGACTCAGTGAAACTATAATTAATCTTTGTAAAAAAACTAATTGCTCAATTTAAGCTTCTGTAATAAACCGCTTTTTGCAAGCCAGGTTCCTCATTCCAAACCTTGAGATGTAATCAATACCTTTGTGATATTTGCCTATATAAGTCTGATGTTTCGGCCAAGGGGCACTACGAGATTTGGAGAGCAATTGCCCCCTCATAGTCCTGGCTTTGAAATAAGTGTGGCTCCTTAATTCGACTTCTTGAGGCATCCTTTGTGTGATTCCCGGGGTACAATACAACAGTAAAATGGGCAGGTTTAGGGAGTTTTAGGAATTAGGGGGTCCATGGGGGAGGGAGGCACAGTTGGTTGGGGACTTGAAGCTGGTAAAAGGCATATATTCACAAAGAATTAAAGATGCCACAGGATAAGGGAAGAGGAAGACACCCATTCACAGAGGGTAGGGGAAAGCACAGGGAGTAGAGAAACAAAAGGAAGAAAGAGGAAAACAGGTTTTCACAGGGAATAGAGAATTCTACCACAGAAGGGGAGAAAAAAGGGGGGGGGGCCCACAGGGGTTTGAGCTTTGATGCTGCTATAGTGACCAATAAGAAGAGAGCATCAAAAGACAAAGAACTGCAACCTTTATAAACCTTAAGAAATAGGGGCTTAGTGGGTAACCCCCTTCAGGACCCCTCTCCCCATCTTGGAGTCTGTACTTGTTTCACATAAATTTCCACCTTTCCATATACCACCTTTATCCATGGCTTCATTCTTTGAATCCACCTGGACAAGAACCTGGGAAAGAAAACTTTGCATCCTGCCCAGAGGAAAGCCACCCATTTCAGTTTGGTTTTTGAATTTTAATAACATATCCCAAACAACTGAGTCACATTTTCTTGGCTTCTAGAATGTTCCAGAATAGGGCAGGGCTCTCAGGTGCTGGCATGTGGTACAGTGGTATATGCACCTACAAAATTGTATATTTTGAGCCTGTTGTTTTTACAATGCAAATTATAGAAAGTAAATTCAGTCTGGGGAAATCTTTTGGGTTGCTGGGTCATGTAGAAAGCACAGCCGTGAGCCCTCTGGCGCATGGACTGGTTGTCCCGTTCCCCAGGTGGGGAAGGGCAGGTGTGGGACTTGCGTGAACAGTGGATGGAAGAAGAGGGGATAAGTGCCTTGTGAAGCTCCCTCAGCTGCCCTTCTGAGCGTCAGTGCTGGGACTGCCTGCTCCCACAGGCTCCCCTCTGCCAGGCATTTCCCTTTGTCCATGAGGCCACAGGAGTGATCACGAAGTAATTAGAAAGTAAATGGGTTTGGGGCAAGTTGTTTTGTCCTTTTAAAAAGAAATCTTCTTGCCCTGACTGGTTTGGCTCAGTGGATAGAGCATCGCCTGTGGACTGAAGGGTCCCGGGTTTGATTCCAGTCAAGGGCATGTACCTTGGTTTCGGGCACATCCCCAGTGCGGGGTGTGCAGGAGGCAGCTGATCCATGTTTCTCTCTCATCGATGTTTCTAACTATCACTCTCCCTTCCTCTCTGTAAAATATCAATAAAATATAAGAAATCTCCTTTTTCTTTACCACTAAAGATTGTAAAATCAATTGAACATGACACACAGGAGGGCAGCATTAATTCCCATTGAACAGAGTCTCTGCCCAGGTCCTGCATGTACCTCTTCTTCTCTCCTGAAGCGTATCTCTACCTTTCTTGCTGACACACGGCCACATCTTACACAGTGCGTTTAAAGTGGCATGTAGCCAAATAAGTTGTTCCAGCAATGACTCTGCCATGAACGAACTTAAATCAGACTTGCTCAGGCTGTTCTCCGTCTGGGTCAGGAACAGACACGCTCTGCTTCTGGAAATACTATATAAATCCTGCCCAACTTCACTCTGTAGCCTCGGCTGAGAAGGACTTGAGAGGTAAGACCGTGATCCAGAGCTCAGCCCCAGACCTGGTCTGGAGGAGATGAGGGCCTCATCTGCTTCTTGTTACAGGGTATTGCTCTGGAACTTGAGTCGGGACCTGCTGGTGGGAAGAAAACACGACCAGCGGAGTCGCACTTCTCTGTTCTCTGGATTTTGTCTGACCTCAGGCGCTCTGGAGATTGGAAGGAGCCCTACCCATTGGAGCCTTTCTCTATAAGACAAGACAATATACAACTGGTAAGTTCTAACCAGGGACCAGGGGGTGAATAAGAAGATACTGTTATCGGTGGAAGTAAGGTTCTTGGGGTGCCACGAGGAAAAGAATTTCCTGAGGTCCCCATAGGAGGATGGAATTTCATGGAGTGGAGAGCTTTATTGATGATGTAAAATTAAGGGGTTTCCCTCCAAGGTCCCATCTCTGTCCATCTTGCCATCGAAGAAGTCCAATCTTGCCTTCAGCAGGGCTAGGATCAAGGTCACTGCCCAGAATTTTAGTTCCATGTTAAAGTCCAGTCCAGCTCCTGGCTAGCTTAGTTGTGTTCCCAGCTGGGTCCTGTTAGGTTAGGTGGCTCAGGAGGCGGCGAAGGAAATAAAGAGAGTTGATCAGAAAAGGAAGGAAGAAAAGTTTATTCTGCGTCCCCAGGAGACCCACGTACCCCAAGGACAGGGCACGTGGATTCACGCCAACAGGGAGAGGGGCACTTTTTTTATACTGCCGTTGGGTGAGGGGCGGGGACATGAGCTGAGGTATTCAGTTGAGGAAGTTTCAGCTGCAGGGGGTCAGCCAGGTATTCAGGAATGAGTCAGTATCTGTGTGGGGGTTGGTGTTGATTCAGGGAGAAGCCAGTATCTGTGTCTGGCATGCTGATCTGCCAGAAATGCCAGGGGGAGTCCATTATCTTGTCACATGTCTGCATGTATCCGATCCTGGGCTCTCTCCAACCTAACAGGTCCATTGTGTGGGGTCAGCACAGCATGGACCATGGGGCTGCTTAAGGCCATGTGGCTATGGAGAGAGAATGAGAGCACATGGCTGAGTGTGGGTCACAGAGCAAGAGAGAGAAAGAGAACAAGAACGAACAAGAGAGAGGGAACTCTTTGGGGTTTTAACCAGGAACTTCTTCAAACCAATTAACTCTTCAAGATTTCACATGCTTCTGATGGGGTCATCTCCTAGCCAATCCATTGTTCCCCAGGCTAGACTGACAGCCAAGCATCCCTCCTGCAAGCCCCTCCCCGACTTATGCACATGCGCCCATCTCCACTTGTGTTCTCTCCCTGCCCCCAGTGACCTGCAGGGAGTGGACCGGTGGTTCCCTGGGGAACATGAAGCTGCCCAGATGACCATGCTTATGGTGTCTGGCCTCCCCTTTGTTTTTTCCCCTTTATTAATATTAACCAGCTAACTCCGGCAATAACAATACTATGATCAGAGAGAGAAATGTTCAGACTTGGTTTGAGAAATGGGTAGAGGTGCTTTTGGTTTGTTTTAGTTTGGCACTGAAAGATTAGTTGGAGGACGAAAACCAGGTGACACAGGCTTTATTAGAGGAAAGACTGAAAGGACAAAGCAGGACTGATGGCTGTGTCCTTAACCCCTCTTCCAAGAAAAAGCCACAGGGTGTATCAGTCACTCAGCCTGCCCTTATCTCGGCCAATGGGAAAGTGGGGGAAACTAGCCCAAGGCCAAAAGTATACTGGCCACCCCCCCTGTCTTTGTGTAACCAGACCCTAGCTGCACCTGCCCCAACCCCCGGCCCCAAGCCCTATAAATTCTTTGTTCTCTTGGGATTCGGGGCTCTCTCTTGCACCCAGTAATGGAGGCAAGGGGGGGACCAAGCGAGCTTGTATAGGAGACCCTCTGCTTTTGCATCGGACTGGCTGGTTCCCTGGTGTGGTTTCCTTGGGGATCTTGAAATCTGGGCATAACATTTTGGGGGCTCGTCTGGGATCCCCAACACCATCGAGGGGACCCCCCCCCCCCTCCGGAGGGCCTGACTGACCGCGGTAGGTGTTTGTGTGTCATTGTATGTTTTATATCTGTCCGGTGTGAGCTCACTTCTGAAATCTGTAAATGCCTGTAATAATGATCTAAGTGGATGCACAGGATCAACGGGCGGGAGGAGTCGGGGGACCCCTCGATCCTCCATCTGAAGGGGTATAGCTTTGCTTCCGCGGAGTCGGAAGGTCTGTAGAAACCCCCTTAATCTGAGACAGGCGGGAGGAGTCGGGGGACGCCTCGATCCTCCATCTGAAGGGGGACATTTTTGCTTCCGCGGAGTCGGAAGGTCTGTAGGAACCCCTCAATCTGAGAAAAGGCGGGTCGCTCCCGCTGGTTGGCATGCAGCCAACGTCTGGCTTTCGTTTTGTTTTGTTTTTTGCTTCCATGGAGTTGGAAGGCTGTACTTCTTTGGGCCCTTTAGTTGTTTGTGTTTCCGTTTTATTTTGAGGACTTGCTGGATGGACGGTATGGTGACTCAGACTGCTCCTTTGGATATTGTGATTAATCATTTCAAGGAGATTGGGGGAGGCTTTAGAGCTCCCTCAGGAATGGGGAAGTTGTTAGAAATTGAATAAATTGTTTAAACTCTAAATGAACGTCTGGTGAAAGTGTGCGAGTGCGGAGGGAGGAGGACTGCCCTCCCCCCTTCCTTTGTGTGGCGGTCGGGCGGCCGCCTGAGTGAGGGTCTGTGGAAACAGGTCACCCCCTCCCCAAGTAAATGCGTCTGGGATTTCTGTGCTCGTGTGAGGAGAAAAGCTGGCTTAAAACTAATATGCGCACCGTCCGATTTCGGATAGGGTTTTGGGCTAGCGTCTCCTTTCAAATGTGCAGGATAAATCCCAAGCCCAATCCATAATAAAGAACAGTTTTTCCAAAGAAAAAACAACAACCAAACAAACTGGTCCGTTGTTAATTAAGAAAGCTTTTCTTAATGGAGGGAGGAAATAGTCGCCTCCTGCCTGCAGCAAAATCTTAAAGAATGTGGTCAATTTACATCTGAAAAGACCAGGCAGGCCAAAAACCTGTCTTGCAAGGCTCGAATGTGGTTTTAATTGTGGTAACTAAATGCCTTTGCTTATTGATCTGATTGAGAAAAGAGGATTGATTTTGTGACCTCAACTGAAGATTTTTGATGCAAGGACCAGTTTAAACTTAATTGATATTCTTTAAAATGTTTATAAAAGGTATAAACAGCTAATATATGCCTAAGTTTAACCTATAATGTGTTTACCCAAAGCTGTGGTTTAAATTGCATGCTGTCTCTGCTTAACTAGTGAAATTTCTGTGTCTCTTAAAATGTATTGCTAATCACCTAAAAATTAAGGCTAAAAGTTCTAGCTACCTGAAAAGCATGGCCTTGGTATAATAGAAGGAAAAAAGAAATATTAAATGAATGGTATACCAGTGAGCTGGGACTGGTCACTAATGGTGGATGTGAGAAAGGGAGCCCTCCCCATCTGTTCCTGTCTGCTCAAGATCCCAAGACTGTAAAAGTATTTGTTCACTTAAAGGATGTAAGTATGGATGTTTATTTAATGTTTGTATGTCTACTTGGGTATAACTATTTGTTCATGTAAGTGTGGAAGTATATTCTGTACTAGGTTGGAATTTTGAAATTCTGGGGTAGATTTAAAAGGTATTTATGGCTTTTCTAGTCTGATTGGGACATTTAAGGGTAGGGCTCACAGTTCCTCAGGGCAGAGATTCCATGGGCCCTTCCCCCTGCCTGTGCTGAATTAAATAATACAGGCCAGTGTCATTTAGCTTGCTGGTTAAAGGAAAACAATGGACCTTAGAATCTGTAAAGGTGGGCAGGAATGAAGCTGGTCAAATGTACTGAAAGGGTTTGGTACCTGTTGCTACTAGCAAAGGAGGGGCTGATACCCACTTCTAGCGCATCCCTTGAAAGAGGCCTGGTTGCTGCTCTGCCACAAAGGGAACTGGTAGAAAGGCAAAAAAACAGAGCACTGTAACTGATAAACAGGGTTACCTAGAAGCCATCAGGACTTTGAAGTTCTCCAAGAGAGGAGGAATCTGACTCAGAGACTGGCGAGGACTGGGTGGTTTTTCTTTAACAATCTCTTTCCTTGAGAGGGCTCCAGAGGGCGCACGAGGACATTTGGCCACGCCTCCGTGCCATCTATGAGACCAGCCCAACCCCAACTCCTCATCAGCACAGACCAGGGGATTGGGTCTACGTCAGAAGGCACCGCCGGGAGACCCACCGCTCTCAAGGTAGATGGCGTTGCGACCTGGGTCCATCCGGAAAGACTTCATCACCAAATGAAGCATCGATCGATCAAAATCAACGCAACCCGCTCAAGCTCAAGCTACGGCGTGCTTGACCTGCCTGATGCCGGTAACATGACTCGCGATCGCTCCTGTCACCAGGAGCCCCCACAATACTGTGTAATACACTTAGATAATGCCTGCATCTTCATGAACATGGCTCCAAAGAGACAAGGACAATTTATAGGATCACATGTTTAGTAGCAGAAGATTCGGCTGCCTGAAGCGGCCATGATGCCAATATTATGTTTCATTGTATTGATATGTTATATTAACCTTTGATTCTTCTGCAGGTTTGAATGTATGTTAGCTGTCCTGGAAGGGAGCTATGTGGGGTGACCCCCAAAAGTAAAGGGTGCCTAGCTGCCAAAAGGGCAGGTGCCCAACTGGGCAGGGAAGGGTGCCCATCAGGTTTTGGTCTCTGTTGAGAGACAGCTAACAGTTGGCAGCCTGTAATACTGTCTTGCAGGCCTGAGTCACCATACCCATGTCAAGGATAGTAAAGCTGGAAAAAGCCTGTTTAGAATAGAAGGTCTAAGGCATGGTTATGCATAGAAAGAAGGTTTTATACCAACAGTTACTGTTTTGTTTTAAATCCATGAAAAGAAATTAGCAAGGAAAGTCAGAAAATCTTAGAGTAGATCAATATGGTTTTCTCCTTATGTAATTCCTCCGAAATCTGACAATGCTAATTAAATCATGGCAATGCATTTTCTTTGCATAGATCCAGTAAGACTGGTTCCTCATAGTGGTTTTATTAACGAAAAACTTTGACTGGAGTATCATGTTTTAAAGAGCCCTGTCTGAACTCTAAAGACTTAAAGCCACTAAGAATGCCACGAAGAAAGCCTGGTATCCTGCTTGGGAGCCCTGAAGATGGCTGGCGCTGAAGCGTCAGGCCCATGCCCTACCATCACTGGCGGTTGGTAAGAGTAGAAGGGGAGCA